TGTCGAGCTCGAGCGAAAAGTCAGGCGGCTCTTTATTGCAGCCAGAGCTTTATACGTTGTAAACTAGTTATGAGCATTGCTTCAATCGCAAGGGCGAGTTTATGTATTCCAGGTCAATGCATTCGTATGCAGTTAAACTTGATAGTTTTCTCCTTTAGTCGAACTTCACGCTAGCTCATGTGTGAACAACCTTGATCATTGCTTTCTTTCACATATACGCGAATGCCTGGTACCGCAGCAAGAAAATTTCGTTTTACCTTAGTTTCTAATTTCTCGAGCAAAAATTGATCAATGGCACGAATTCAGAATTTAACTCATTTCCCCTAAAAAAGTAATTTTCCTCGCTCATAGTTATTTTCTTATCGTTCGATTGAAATGAATAATTGGATGATTGAATGAAAAAAAGGAAAGAATGCAAAAAACAAACATTCTATTCTATAATTATAACTACATAATTTATGTTAAATATTATTGCAAGGCCAGACATTGAAAAATTATCAAACTACTTGTATATAATTATTAAATTAATTGTTTTTAAAACTTAAAATTATGTTAATTAAATGTTATAAATATAAATGAAGCTTTTTAGCTTATTAATTAAAATTATATGTTAAATTTTGGAAAATTACTCGCCCTTACATTGAAGCAATGCTCATAACTAGTTTACAACATACCTATAAAGCTCTGACTGTAATAAAGGCCGCCTGGATTTTCGCTCGAGCTTTACAATGTGATCTAATACTAAAACGTATCTTTATTTAGTATCTCGTGGAAGCGATAGTTTGCAGATAAAATGTATTTATTTAAGAAGAAAAACATCAGTTTTCCATAAGGTGTGCAGATGAAACAACCGTATAGGGCGGTGTCGAGCGGATCTATTCCTTTGTCTTTTTCTCATGCATCATCGATCAAACGAAACAGGCCCCTATCTTTTCTCGTTCCTTCCCTCTGCGCCGTCTTATCTGATGCAATAAAGATGCCCTTTGCACGCGTCTGATAACGGCCGTTAAATCGTGGCGTTGCGACTAAGTGTCCGATCGTGACTAGAAAGGAGCGCGTGAGAGCGAATTTTTCAAGCACCTTCTCATTCTCATTCGGTCTTCTTCGATCTTTAACAGCGGCTCGCCGCGCCCGCGCCACTGCGACGGTGTTGGTGAATCTAGATGCGGGAGATGTGACCGATAGACGCGCAAAGACACACCCGAGGCGAATTTGCATTTTAAACAAAGCCAAGAAATTTCGTCGAAACTTTCTTTCAGCGAATATTCAACGCGTTGCACGTGAGGTAACAGTGAATTACGGAGTTAGTTGTGAGTTAACTAGCTAAATTTTAATAAATTTTCTCAAGAACCCCTGTAATAGATTTTGGTTAAAAATACTATTTATTATTTAAATTTATAATATTATTTTAGTGTGCAGTACTTTTTCATGGAAAGAACAATTTTGCTGAATCCAGACCTGAAAATAATTTTTGTTCAATAATCAAAATAATGGCTAGAATATCAAAACGTTTTATAATGTTTATCATTTTTAACATTCCAGCAAAATTTTTCGACGATTTAACAGTTAATTTTCAGATCTGTATTTAGCAAAATTTTTAGACCTTTCAACAAAATCGTTCTTTCCGTATATTAAATACTGAAATATTAATTCTTTTTTAACACTTAAAAGACACGAAGCAGGGAGAAGCATCGATATATTATTATAACTGTATACAACAATTTTAAGGAAAAATATTCCAACTTAATATATAATTTAATATATATTTTGAATATAAATTTACATATTTTTTATATAAATATATTTTATATTTATACGAAAGATGTCCATTTATACTATTTCTTGCTTTCCGCCACATTGTATAAAAGTATTTGATAAGAATACTTGAAGCTGTAGCGCCATTCATCTCGTTTAACGCGAACAAATAAAAATTTCGGAGGAATGTCTTATTATTCAGTATTTTCGAGGGGCTGCTAAGGGAGACGCAGTATCGTTCCGACGCGAGACGGCAGACGCTAAATCTCACGGCAACTGGATTTGAGGCGCTCGAGGGTGTCTTGGCGGATTCGGTAGCTCCGGCATGCTCGGGGAATATGTGGCATGACACGTAGATAGATATAATGCAAACCTCACGTTTCGCCAGTATATACACGTGAGGGATCTCCGCTTAAAGAATATTTGCTATTGGAATAGTAGCGTATATCATAAATGTGCGGTGTATTCAAGCATTGCGATATTTCTTTCACTGAAAGAGATTTTCTTTTTCCTTTATGTGCAAATGCATTCATTTTAAATAGCTCGATATTAAAGGATTACGCCATCTTTGAGGTTTTAAAACAATACCTAAAGTTTGGGCTTTTTTGTGGGTAAATGGATAACTTCACGGAAAGAACAATTTTGCTGAATCGAGATCTGAAAATAATTTTTGTCCAATAATCAAAATTATTTTGTGCGAAAGTCAAAATGATTGCTAGAATATCAAAAC